TAAATCCCTTCATAATTAAAATGCAATTTATAGCCTTTTTTCAAATTGATGAATATAAAATTGTTAAATGTGCTTATTTATGACATCTTTTTAGACAAAGAAAAAGACACACAAAAAAATCTCACCCAGGCCAGGAGACTTCAAATCAGTGATTAATGCTTCATATGTGAAAAGGTGAAAACACCCTGCAGCATGTTTTTAACATTCATGCTGTATCCAGACATGCATAACTCATTTATTTTCAGATGTCTGAAATGACTTATTCAGAGGGGAGAACACCTGGAATGCGCGACACTAAAGTACTGGACTTTATTCATATTATATGGTCTAACATTGATGATAAACCATGGGTCACTTACGATGCAGAACCAAACAGGTGCTCTTTGAAAATGAGTTTCATATGATGTGCTGTCTGGCTAATTCACCAGCAATTAGTTGCTCAGCTGTTACTCTAATATTAGCATACAATGAAATGGTTTTGCACAGGATGGAGCGGGGCGGATTACATTTGCACATAGTCAGGCCAAACGAAAAATGTGGTGCAGGTTTCTATCGAGGTCAGTCACACTTAGTCTTGCTCAGACCGTGGAAAACCTGCCTAGGCAATGATCCTCAAAAGCTTCTATTTATCTGTGGGGATTTACTAATAGCGGGACAGATGGGATGGCTGTGAGGGGAGGGTGAAGAAACAGTTAAACGTGGCCGATCCCTCCACTCCAGCGCTGCTGTCCGGCACACGAGAGGATCCATATGGAGACAGAAGAGTATTAGTGTAACGTTCATGTATACAGAGGGGGAAGGGAGTCAGGCGACAGCTTTACCTCTCAAATCTTCTTAACAAGTAATGAAACAGAGTGATTTTGATCACCCTGCTTTGCGTTTCATGTGGGGCAAGGATCTTGCTGAAGTTCATAGTAATGCACTTTGCTAAGGCATTCCTTCCAGTAGTTATTGTGCCAAAATTGTGCCAGCTTTAAAAGATGAAAACATCCAGATTTCCTGTTTATAGGAATGTGGTGTGGAAAAGCGTGCTGCAGGAAAGGTTTTCAGTTGGGGCAAGTTGTCACACTTTTTACTAGAGTGAATATTTCGAAATAGGTTTATTTTTGAAAGTCAGTTTCTATATTGAGAACAGCCTTGGCTACAAAAAAGTTTCAGCATTATATTATATATTATTATTTTAACACTCATTGAGATTTTGTGACAACATGCCCCAGTGGTTTTAAACTAAGGTACTGTAGTTTTGAACTAGGAGTTTGAAAACAACATTAAAAACAGCTTTGAGATTAAAAAAAAAAAAAAACATCTGTGTAATTTGATATACTTTTATAGTTAATAATATTTAGAATCTCCTTTTTGTTTTGCTTTGTTTTTTGTTTTGTTTTGAGAAGCAAAATGTTTGGTACGACTATTTTGTATGTAGCAGCCAGTATAGTTTTTATCATTTTAAATGCAGCCAGGGCTATTTGTCAAAAAAATTTTAAGTCAGTTTCTGTACGGACAAAAGCTACAGAAACAGCATTATTGCCGAGGACAAAAGATATGGTTTCTTCCATACATTGAGATTTTGTGACAACATGCCCCAATAGTTTTAATACAGTTTTGAACTAGTTGTTTGAAAACAACATATAAAACCATTTCGTAATAAAAAACATTTGACTTTTGACTTCAACCTTTAGTTACTGACATTTATATTTCCCCTCAGTGTGACAACAAGCCCCGGTTTCCCTATTTGCTTGAAGAAACAACTAAATATATCCAGCAGTTTAGATCCTCTCTGTCGTTTTCCAAATTACGTTTTTGAGAAGTGAAAAATTTGACAGCTCTTTGATACGAAGCATTTTTAGATACGTCTAAAAACTCCATGAAACTCAATCCTACAATTAGTCAATAGTCATTGCGGTGAATAAAATCAAAATATGAGCGTGCAGTGGTCTGTCGAGAGTCTTTACTCTACAATAACGGAGTATTACCACCGTCTAGCCCTCCCTTCTAGTCTAGTCAGCTAGAGGCTTGACGCAGATGGCAACAACCAGGGTAAACCTACAACAGCTGGTATAGGTCTAAGCTCATAACAAAATGGATCAACGGGCGCAGCTATATGACAAGCCACCGAGGCTACGGATGGACGCTTTACGGATATTTTAGTCTGTGGGGCTTCGGGAAATGACTGGTCTTATTAAACGAAAATCACAGAAGGTTAAGCAGCTGCAAAGCTTCTGAGGTATTTAAAAATTTCCCCCCTGACTATTTCCCCCTGACTGTGCATAAGACTTCCTGGTACGGATTAGAGGCTGCAGCTACATGTGGTGTTGTGGCTACATACCTTCAGTCAGTCAAAACCCAATCTGCTGCTTAGCTTTCCTTCTCCCCGGGCCAGGAATCGCCAAAAGCCAAATGGATGATGGAGAGGGGGAGAAAAAAGAGAGAAAGAAAGAGATCAATATGAAGATAAAGCGTGCAAAACTTTGTTGGAGATGAATCGTGGAAAATGGGAGAGAATGATGGAGGAGACGGGATGGATCCATCGTTTAGATGAAAGACAGAGAAAATCAACCTATGACACACAATCTTTAAGAAATATCACCCTCGGCTCTTACTGGGCCATCACACTCCCTAGAGCTATGATTTGGATGAGTGCGAAAAGGTGTGTGTGTGTGAGAGAGAGAGAGAGAGAGAGAGAGAGAGAGAGAGAGAGAGAGAGAGAGAGGGGGAGGAGGAGAAGAGCGAGAACCGTGTGGT